GTAGTAGTAGTAGTAGTAGTAGTAGTAGTAGTAGTAGTAGTAGTAGTAGTAGTGGTAGTGGTGGTTGTTTTAGTAGTAGCAGTAGTAGTAATAGCAGTAGCTGTAGTAATAATAGTAGTTGTGCTGGTGGTGGTAGTGGTGGTGGTAGTAGCAGTGATGGTGGTCATGGGGGTATAAGCGGTGGTAGTAGTAGCAGCGGCAGTGGCAGTACTAGTAGCAATTGTTTGCTGATGTTGTTGTTGTGACAGGCCTCACCTTAAAGCTAGGCTTATAATGTATTTTTGGTATGGCTGTGGTTGTTTCATTGATCGTTTGCGTTGCATGCTTATGGCGGCTTTTGAGCCGCAACAGTAATTTTGTCATTTGTGTCACTGTTATTGTGACGCTGAAGGAGGAGGAGAAGAAGAAGAAGAACAAGAAGAAGCAGCAGCAGAAGAAGAAGATGGTGGTGATGATGGTGATGATGGTAGTAATGGTGATGATGATGATGGTAGTGGTGGTGATGATGATGGTAGTGGTGGTGATGATGATGATGGTAGTGGTGGTGATGATGATGGTAGTAATGGTGATGATGATAGTGGTGATGATGATGATAGTGGTGGTGATGGTGATGATGGTACTGGTGGTGATGATGATAATGATGATGGTAGTGGTGGTGATGGTGATGATTATAGTAATGGCGATGACGATGATGATAGTAGTGGTAGTGGTGGGGATGATGATGAATATAGTAGTGGTGATGATGATGGTGGTAGTGGTGGTGATGTTGATGATGGTAGTGGTAGTGATGATGATGATGATAGTGGTGGTGATGATGATGATGATGGTAGTGGTGACGACGATGATTATAGTAATGGTGATGACGATGATGATAGTGGGGGTGATGATGATGATGATAGTGGTGGTGATGATGATGAGTAGTAGTGGTGATGATAACGATGATGATGTTGATGACACAGAACAACAACAGCAGTCGCTAGTACCGAACAATCCCACTGCCACTTTAACCCCCCCCCCCCCCATCCCAGGACTCTCTACCCCAACCCGTAAGCTTCTGTGCATGTTTGGCTGTTGACTTTCTGATATTACCACCCTCATCAACAACGCCGCCTTCCGGCAGACAAAGCAATCCTACCGACATATTCTTTGTCCCATTTCCCTTAACCATAAATCCAAATTTCACGCGAAAAACCCGGGACAAAACCACCGGCATATCCACAAGAATAACCCATTGTTGTACCGTCACAGAGAGACCTCCTACGGTTCAAACCTTGCCTCTCCGTGTGGAATTGTCAAAGAGCCCTAAAGCAGCTTACGCATTTACAATTTATTGCGTAAACACGTAAGAGTATGATAATTATATGCAAAATTCATAATCATGTTCCGCATAGTAAACATAAAAATCGCGGCTTCAATTCATTGGCTAGCGGCTGTCTGTAGCTTTTGGGTCGTGCCGAGTGTGAGGTTTTCCAGAACTCTCAAGTATGCCTGCAGAAGTGAAATGACTTTATGAATAGTTTACCCACGCGCGCGTATTCTTACCCTGAGTCTTTCATACCCTGTAGTTTATTAAATAAGCCGGGTAAGATCTGAGAATACAAGACAACCCGTCTTTCATCCTCGCCCCTGGCTTATGAGAAACATAAGAATAATAATATAATAATCTTGGCGGAAAGTTAACAACGGACACGGCATATCCTGAGCAGAGATTGTCAATGGGGGGTATAGAACTACTGAACAATAGCTGAGATTTTGGACAAATTAATCTACAGCTACGATTGGATCCGGCTTCAATAAAACAGCTGTACGGTGGTTTGAAAAGTAAGCATTAAAAAAAATGGATATTATTATATTAAGAAATTTCTTACCCAGCTGGCGTTATTTCCTTTGAAGGTCCTCGATTTGTTTTACATATAATATGAATACGATTGTGCGGTGAATTTATAATGGGAGTTTCGTTTGATTTATATAACATTCTCTCAGTTTGACCATGGCCAGATCCAGATCTAAGACCGTAAAGCTCAAACGGAAATTCCCGTTTTTGTGGGGCTTACGTGGCCGGTCGTTGGTAACAATTGTTATCACCACGGCCTTCTCTATTTATACAGAAGGACCTGGTTATCACCGACCGGCCACAAGAGCCTCACAAAATTCCCTCTGAGCTTTAAGGTCTTATATCTGAATATGGGTAGCAGGTGAAGTCCTGGGGTACACTTCTGTCTTAAAAGTTTAGTGGAGTGGTGTCGGAATCCAATCTTCGAGGTACAGGGTTTGTTCCGCAGCCGGCAGTTCGGGAACAAAACTGTTGTGGTGGTTTTCAGACATCATCATCTGGCATTGGGCCAGAGGGCGAAAGCTCATGCGTCGCTGGATCAATAGCAACAACAACAACAGACATCATCATCCGTGTTCTGTGATAAAATCCCTTTGCTGTTCAATTGTACCAGAGGTCAGAGGCGTGATCGCCTATGAGAGTCGTAAAAGAGCTAGATGATGATGATGGCAGAAGTAAGTGCAAAAGGTACACACGGCTTTAAAATGTGAGACGAGTGTTTCTCGAGATTAGCAGGAGATAGCGCCTTCACAGGTATTGCAAGTCCCAGGCGTGACTGGCCGCTGAGCTAAGAGTTAGTTAGCCTGTGTCCAGTTAGTGTCCCTCAGTCTGTGAGTTCGGACGTGTGTGACTTTTAGTCATAATCATCTGTATTTTTTTTTTTTTTTTCAGGTTACGTTTTAGATCGTCCATTTGAATTTAGTCTATCATTCGGAATGCTCCAGTTGAGTGTATTTATTAGAAACAAGGCGTTAAGAACCAAACACTTTAGATTATCCCTCTGCGAGGACGTGATCGTTCCTCGTCGGTTTCTGACTCCAGACCTGGTGTGCCGGGGGGGGGGGGGGCTGGGTCTCTAGTCAGTTCAGGCGTAGGGTTTTTGACCGCAACTGCATGTCTTGGAGGCGTAGTAGCGTTGGCACAGCCTCTAGTCGTTATGTATAGGTAATTAGTGACCCAAAGAGTGGGCACTTAACCGAGGCGTTTATTAAAGACTACTGGTGACCCCAGGAGTGGGCCCATAGGCCGACGGTGCTTATGTTGTGAACGCACGTCAAGTCGATGCTAGGTGTCGCCCTGTGAGGAGATGCGGCCTTGGAAGTATACTATTGGGTACTGGGAAGCATTAGACAGACAGTAGTTCTGTAAACACCAATTTATCTTCATCGTCATAATGTGTTCATCAATAAAAAGACTTATGCACTATTACAGGGTTGACTTTTAATGTACTGTTGTTGACACTGTTATCAGTGTTGGGGGGGGGGGGGGTGTGACTGTGTAACTGTGATCTACGTACTCTTCGGTAGGGTACCCAATTAGTCGCCGGACAGTCGACTTAGGAACTATCATAGATATATACGGATGAGGTATAATCTATCATATATATATATATATATATATATATATATATATATATATATATATATATATATATATATACGGGTGAAGCATAATGATACACCACTAGACACATAACCAGATATGCGGTCCATACTCCAGACCGCATACAACAAACAAGAGGTCTTAGGAACTATCATAGATATATACGGGTGAAGCATAATGATACACCACTAGACACATAACCAGATATGCGGTCCATACTCCAGACCGCATACAACAAACAAGAGGTCTTAGGAACTATCATAGATATATACGGATGAAGCATAATGATACACCACTAGACACATAACCAGATATGCGGTCCATACCCCAGACCGCATACAACAAACAAGAGGTCTTAGGAACTATCATAGATATATACGGGTGAAGCACAATGATACACCACTAGACACATAACCAGATATGCGGTCCATACCCCAGACCGCATACAACAAACAAGAGGTCTTAGGAACTATCATAGATATATAGGATGAAACAAAATCATACACCACTAGACACATAACCAGATATGCGGTCCATACCCCAGACGGCATACAACAACCAAGAGGTCTTGAGACTATCATAGATATATATACGGGTGAAGCATAATGATACACCACTAGACACATAACCAGATATGCGGTCCATACCCCAGACCGCATACAACAAACAAGAGGTCTTATGATATTCTCTCTACGCCACCCCTGAAAGTCTCTCCTTCTCTGGCTACTTCTCAGCCCAGTGTGCTTTCATAGCCAGTGCATCTTTAATTTCTTATATCCACCTTCGCGAAGTCGACCCCTGAATGGTTTTCCGGAAAATAAACTCTGCATCGCCGTTGTTTTCCAGTACACCATGACGTTTAGCGTATCACAGTACCTTAGTTTTACCTCCAAGTTTTTCTGCCGACCAGACTTAGAATTCCTTTTTTTTTTTTTTTTCATACATAATTTATTTGTACTTTACTGAGATTAGTTTTTGTTTGTTTCATGAAATATAAGTATACACAATCATTTATAATCTGTAACGAATTTAAACCTTGTTCCACAAGTATAGATGATGTCACCAAGAAAGTCACTTTCATGCAAAACAACAAGTCGTCACGTACGCAGCTACAGCAGTCCTAGCTCTAACAAATTTTGTCCTGAATCCCAATAATCCCCTGGAGTTTCTAAACAGGAACAAGCCTCAATTATACAACATAAAATAAATCAGAGGGGCTGGGGGTTTTGATGACGTAGCAAATGCAATTATATAAACCAAAAAAACATTCCCTGGTAGGCAAAGAGTGTCCATCAGGATGCGCTGGACTGGAGATGAGTTTGTTGTCCGTGACAAGAATGCAGCAGTGTCCGCTTGATCTAATCAAACTTTCTCTTCCCTGACACCATCAGCAAAGAAGTACACATAAGGAATATCATCTGTCTCTCCTGATGGGGTTTCCCATTTCACCATGGCAATGCTACCATCTGGGTTGCAGGATTCTCCAGTGTAGAATTCATACTGGTCAAAATTGGCTAGGACAGTCTTGAAAGTATTATGGATTTCAGTTCGCCAGGCTGTCACATCAAAATCTGGATTCTTCTCCTTTTTGTATGCCTCTACCTTCTTCATAACCATCAGCAAAGAAGTACACACAAGGAATATCATCTGTCTCTCCTGCTGGGGTTTCCCATTTCACCATGGCAATGCTACCATCTGGGTTGCAGGATTCTCCAGTGTAGAATTCATACTGGTCAAAATTGGCTAGGACAGTCTTGAAAGTATTATGGATTTCAGTTCGCCAGGCTGTCACATCAAAATCTGGATTCTTCTCCTTTTTGTATGCCTCTACCTTCTTCATAACCATCAGCAAAGAAGTACACACAAGGAATATCATCTGTCTCTCCTGCTGGGGTTTCCCATTTCACCATGGCAATGCTACCATCTGGGTTGCAGGATTCTCCAGTGTAGAATTCACACTGGTCAAAACTGGCTAGGACAGTCTTGAAAGTATTCTGGATTTCAGTTGGCCAGGCTGTCACATCAAAATCTGGATTTCAGTTGGCCAGGTTGTCACATCAAAATCTGGATTCTTCTCCCTTTTGTATGCCTCTACCTTCTTCATAAAGTCCCTGAAATATGACATGAAATCTTTGTTTGAGCAGAAGCCAGTTTTCTGTAGCCTGTTGTCAAGGACGGCATCTATGTCGGAGTAGCTGCTTTCCTCTGCTCCTTCATCCTGCTGCTCTTCAGCGCTGGCATTGGCGCCAATTTTCAGAATCGTCAAACTTTTCTGATCGGCAAACATACCTGCCTTTAATCCTGAACAGGCCACCCACAAGTTCAAGTGGGTAGGTGTCCGTGAACATTTCATCCCCTGTTTCGCAACATCTGTAAATCTTCATTTTGGCTGATGTTTATGGATAGCTGGTCTCGAGTCTTTGATAAAGAAGGCTCAAGCCACTAGCTAACCTTGGTGGCGTCCTAACGCATGGGCTAGCGGGGACCATAGCAGTGTGCTTATGTGTGTATGTCAAGTGACTTGTCATACTTTTAAAAAAAAATATTTTCTCTTTGACCGGTTGTCGTAGGGGTCCTATCACACTGGATTGATTAGGGCCCATAATGTTGTTAACAGGGCACTCGGGATAGAGACCCTAAGTTCCAAAATCCTGTTGCTGTTTTAGTCCACCGACAGAACTTTTAACGGCAGCGAAGTCAGCATCATCTCTGCCGTCATCTCCATCGCTTTGTACTAGCTCCATCGTTGATCTCCTCGCCAGCTGATGAACTGTCTGGTATGGCAGCCTCACCATCAGATCTGTCTGATTTCTTTTTGGCTTCCGCTGTGAGACAGTCGTGTATGTATACATATTGACAGAAGAAAAAGAATTATCTAAAGCAATATAACTTCTATACTGATATACGGAAGGGAATCATGGACATTGTGTAGATAAGTAAAAAATCATTTGGAAGCTGCGCAGAAGTGGTTTTATAGACCAGTCATGTGAATGCCATGGGCGGATTTAAAAAAAAAAAGGAATAAGGATGTCTTTAAAGAAACTTCTTCTTCTTCGCGTTCACCAGCTGTAAACTGGTGGAAAGTTCTGGTTGTTCGTCCACTTCTGGACTGCAGTCCTGTTCCAGAACCTGAGTGTTGCGTGTGCATCCGTTTGACAGATCTGACGCATCTGCGTGTAGACTGTTGGTTCCTTGCCTCTCAGGCAGATACACTCCGACTTCGAAGGAACCTTCCAATTATTCGACTCTTACGACATGCTTTTTGTTAGACTGTGTGTCTATTCTTGTTTTCCCCACAACAGGGCCCCGGAACCCACACAGGTATACATCGTAATAATTTCTCAAGGCTCTCTTTCAAAAAAAAAAAAAAAAAACACACACACACACACAATACTACAGTAGAGGCGAAGAGGAGAAGAGGAAGATAAAGAAAGACCTGGATACAGAGCTTGACCAACTGGACAAGCCTCAGGTATGCAACCATGAAGTCCATCGCATCTGACCATCAAAGATAAGATGGAGGGAGCTGATCAGACAGTTGACAACAACTGCTGACCCATCGAGGAGGGAGCTGATCAGACAGTTGACAGCAACTGCTGACCCATAAAGGAGGGAGCTGTTCAAACAGTTGACAGCAACTGCTGACCCATAAAGGAGGGAGCTGATCAGACAGTTGACAGCAACTGCTGACCCATGGAGAAGGGAGCTGATCAGACAGTTGACAGCGACTGCTGACCCATCGAGGAGGGAGCTGATCAGACAGTTGACAGCGACTGCTGACCCATGGAGAAGGAAGCTGATCAGACAGTTGACAACAACTGCTGACCCATCGACGCGCAGTGTTGCGGGATGATATATACATAGATAATACTTTTAATCCTCGTTAGCGCAGTCAATAGGAGACTTACTTTCAAATCCAGCTGCGACTCGCTGCAGCCATGGTCGGTGTTCAAAACCGGGCGGTTCCGGGGTTCACCCAGTTTCTAGTTGACACTCTGGTGTGAATGGAGGAATGTCGCTGTAGCTAGGCGATTGCGTGCGGATGGCGACACAGGCAGGTTGTTTCTTATTCTACTGGTGGCAGAGCACTTATGGTTTATAACCGTGTCAGCAATGACGCTGGTTCACATCTCCCGACTTTCCCTTTTTTTAAAGATAATACTTACATGTTAGTATCAGCTGGCTTACATTAGTCTAGCGGAGAAACAGCTTGAATACATAGAGGCAGAATACACCCCTAAATGGCTCCACACACAAATGAGTGGTGATCCTGCATTACGATCAGCCCCACCCCCCCCCCTTCCCCTTTCCCCCTTTTTTTCCCTTAAAAACATTATTCTTCGATAGTGGGTCTATTCTTGTTTCCCCCCACAATGAGACTCCGGAACCAACACCTTTTGGTGTCTTTTTTTTGGTACTTTTCGCAATGAAAATTCGGCAGCCCTGTGTGAAAAGATACTTCACTTGCTTAGAGGTATTTTGCTTCTTTGGGGATTGAGTGGTCTCGAGGCATGGCGTCCGCCTCGAGTGCTGAAGGCCTCGCGTTCAGACCCCGATGAAGACTGTGATTTTTTTTCACATGGACTTCTGGTAATTTCCGCTGGTCTTCGGGTAGTGAGATCAGACACCCGTGTGTATTCTTGCGCACGCAAAAAAATCAACTGGCAGTTGGAAATCGAAAAGAGTAGTCTAACGGCTCTGTCCGGGAAAAATCTTGAGCCAACAATCTACCCAAAATATTTCAGGATCCTCGCTGGTGCACGACTTAGGCGTTTTAGAAGTAAAACGGAGCACTTATGGGTTAAACCCGTGGTGTACCATGATGCTGATCAGTCGAATAAATATAAACATAAATTAAAGAACACAGATGATAATTAAAAAAAAAAAAAAACACATGTAAATAATATAAACAAATGTACCGAACGAAGTCTATACATTTCAAATTTCTCTCTTGTCAATTATCGTTTAATTTCTTCTGTATCTTTCTGCGAAATGACAAGTACAAAGAGAAGAAACGTGCCAGTATTTATCGACCTGTACTGCCTAGCTATGTTATCAAAACCATCTCAAAGAGCAATGAATGTATAATCGTTTTACATGTTTCATTTATGTAAATTGTAAAACAATCATCAAAATAATTATATGGATCTACTGTCAGTTATCGAAAATTAACAAAGTGATTACGAGACTTGAAAGCCGAAAGGAGTGTGGATTGTCGACCTTCCTCTTTTCGCTTAGGAATCTCTCCAGAATTTTGTAACTTTTGTGCGATGTTTAAAGGGCAGTGAAAGTGGTAAGAGAAATAAAACATTACAGGCAGGTTTAAACCGTGATATGATACAGAGGCGCGGTTGCAGCAGGCGCCGCCGTAAGGAGGCGGCATAAGCAGCGAAATGAAAGTACAATCTAAACGTTTGATCTGACAACGTGAAGCTTTTAGGTGTGGCAATTGGAACTGTGGGAACGACACCTTGAAACGCCTCTACAAACAACAGATCAAGTTAAGGTTTAGACACGGCCAGCTCCAGATTTATAAGACGGTACAGCTCAAACGGGAATTCCCGTTCTTGTGCAAGAATTGAGTCCCTCTGCGTCCACAGTTTTTATCGAGGAGATGTATACACAAATTAAACTACAGTTTCATTAATTTTCGACATATTTATTAGAACTATACGTCATTTTAAGCTAAATAAGTGTGCTAATTTAATATAACAATAAAGGCTCTTACAGAGGAACAAAAATGCTTTTGCTACAGTCAACACGAACATAAACATCAGTAACGTTTAGATGTAAACTAAAAGTTGTTCCAGCAAAAGTAAAGAAATATCAGTGCTAACTCTTTGATTCTGAGAGGGTATTGTTGCATCAGAGGAGCGGGGGAGGGGGGAGGGGTGACATTTGTACTTTATCAAATTTAGCGCATAAAAATACTGCTATGAAACATGCACATGTCATACATAACATAAATATAAATGATTGATGGTTATTATTATTATTAGTAGACTACTACAACATATAATTAAACTACAATCAGTATGAAATTGATATGTGCAATGATTTTTTCACCCAGAGTAGTTTTCTTAACAGTACTTCTAGCACTACTAAATATGTATCCTAAAGGTACAAACAGCCCAAACAAAATTGTCCAGTTTCATCTTGCTGGGTGAAATCCATTCCTTATCATTGCGAATTTTTTGGTAACAAATATGCATAGGAAGTGGATGAACAACCAGAGTTTACAGCCAGTGTTCTCGAAGCAAAGCAAAAGCCAGTTTACAAAAATTAACACAGACCGTACAACTGCAAATATGCAAAAGAAGTGGATGAACTACCAGAAGTTTCCGCAAGAGTTTACAGCCAGTGTTCACGAACATCTAGCCGCTACGCCACAGCGACTCCCCTAGATGACTTAGTAATGATGATATCGGGAGGGGAATCGGCACAGAAGCAAAACTGAACTTTATCGATAGACAACAAATCAAATGGTTTGGCCATGTAACAAGATTGGCAGCAGACAGGGCCCCACAGAGAGCAGTGTTATACAGCTACAGAAGTAGCAGAACCGGAGGTCGATCAGGCAAAACATGGACCGCAGAAATATCAGACACTGAAAAGTACTTTATATGAAGCGAACAGAAGAGCCCGTCCCAGAGATCTCTTCCTGCTGTGATGCCGCGAGACTTTCAAGGAGTAGAGAAAAGACGAAGTAAAAGAAGACTTTGTCAAAAAAAATCTATCTAAAGTGGAAAACGTATGGGGAGACGGTTGTGGAGAGGGGCCGGGGGGGGGGGGGATTAGGTCACTTCTTCTCCCCAAACCCACCAATTTCCCTGTTTTCTTTGTTTTGGCGCTCTGAAACCAACCTATTGGTTTTTATCGCAAAATTAAAATGGTAATTATCTTACGGCATTGGCATATTGGGCATATCTTTTTATTTTTCTTAGCTTTCACCTGCGATACACTCCGGCTAAAAGTTCTGTTTGTTCGTCCACCTCTGGACTTTAGTCTTGTTAAAGAATTTAAGTTTTGCATGCACATCCGTTTCACATATATGGCAGGCTTGTTTGTAGACTGCTGGTTCCTGGCCTCTCAGGCGGATGTACTCCGACTTCCAAGAATGACCCCAATTAGTCGACAGATACGACATGCTTGTTGGGGAGGCATTGGGTCTATTCTTATTTCTCTCCCCTATAATAGGGCTTGGGAAACTCACATTGGGGCCCTGGAACCCACAACTGGTCCCCGTTAACCCACAGTGAGACCTTGGAACCTACAATGGGGACCTGGAACCTACAATAGGGCCCTGGAACCTACAATGGGGCACTGGAACCTACAATAGGGCCCCTGGAACCTAAAATGGGGCCCTGGAACCTACAATGGAACA